TTATTATGAGAATCTTCTGTGTGATTAAACACAGGCTAGAAATGTCTAAAATTGCCAGATGTTTGCTGAAGGTAACATTTTTTTGGTTCACTTTGAAAAGCTAACCAAATTTATCAGAGTGAAAAACCTATCCTTGATTTATTTTTTATTTTTTTTTGACATTCAAAAGGCTTGACTTTTTTATTAGTTGGTTTAGACAAACTTCCAGGTTTTCTTAGAAGTGGCTTTTGTGTGTTGTGGGTTTTTTCCCCACCCTCCCCACCCCCACTGAAAAGCTGTATGCAGAACTGATAAAAAACTGACTTCATATGTGAGCATATAGGTTCTTTTATAAATGCAGAGAAGTCCTGATTTTTCAAGGTTTTGCTTTTAGCCAAAAATAGTACTGTTCACTGTTGCAGAGTAATGATAAAAGGTCTTCGGCATGCATGTTCTTGCTGTGATAAATAGTAGGTAGCAATAACCTAATTTATACTCTTAACACATTTTTGTTACTAGTGAAGCTATTGCAAACTTGTGGACCCTTGTTCCTTTTCACCTCACTATCTATTTCTCCTTGATCACCCATTTTAAATTCCCAACAAAAGTTTGAAAAACCTAAAACCCGGTGAATGAAAGCTAAAAATGTCAGTATGCATGCCAAATGCAAATGTTATTAACTAAAGAAATAATTACAGTATCTTTTTGTAATGTAGACTAACAATGGAAATTTATTATGAGAATCTTCTGTGTGATTAAACAATGTGTGATTTGCCAAATGCAAATGTTATTAACTACTCTAAAGAAAAAAGACAGCCTAAGAGCCTTAGTGGATCACGTCTTCTCTTGCAGTAGTATTTTCTAAATCAGTAATATGCAAGAAGTTAAAGTAGTTTTAAAATTGCTAGGGGAAAAAAGTGTACTCATGTTCTTTCAAGTTTATCCATTAAGATAGTTTGTCTTTGTTTACTGGTATGAAAAATGGAGAACAAGAGCAAGGAATACTGTTAACAGTAAATAATAAATTAATAGTAAATCTTTTTTAATTGAAATTTTCACTTAATGCAAACTGCTTTAAAAGTCATAACTTTTGGATAAGTCAATGTGAATGAACTATTCTCACTGGTTTTCATTTCCAATTTTTTAGACCAAAGAAAGTCTACAGTATGCATTGGAGGCTCTGACTATGAACGGCTGCTCAGTGGAAGATCTAGGGCTGGACTTTACACTTCCTGGGTTCCCTAATATAGAACTGAAAAAAGGGGGAAAAGATACACCCGTCACCATCCACAATTTAGAGGAGTATCTCAGAGTACGTAAAAGCAAAGCTAGGACTAAAATTTCCTTATTCTTTGTCACCTTGCTCAGCAGTAGTTTGTTTTCATATATATTTCAGTTCATTCTTGTGAGCTGGGCACAGCAATAGTTTTCTTACTGCTTCTCTTCTGTACTAGTTTATTACTACAGAAAAAACTGTTTGAATCCTAGTCAGTGCATATAACTTGAAAGTTTTATAGTACAAAAAAGTTGGCTTATACATGATGAAGTAATCAGAAGGATGGGTAGTGCGTTTTGGGGGCTTTTTTTTTTCTTTTTTCTTTGATAAAACATGTGGTAGTAACTGGAGTAATTTGGGCTGTGGACTTTAAGAATCTTTTAACAAGTTGCCACATCTGGATGTGATAATGAATTTGTTTGCAATAGTGATTTAGCACCTGCTACTCACACTTCAGTGGGCATTGAACTGCTATATTAATACTAAAATTTGTTGGAGTTAGACTTAGAAAGCATCAGCTTGGTTGTGAGACAAGAGCAGTAGTTGTTTGTGTGTTGTTTTTTTTTCTTTTTTTAAACCAAACAAAACACAACACAAACCCCACACTCAAACAAAACCCCAAACCATAAAAAAAACCCCAAAAAACAGGTAAGTGAGCAGGTAACAAAATGGTGACACGGTAAGTTGACAGTACACATGCATATTGATATATTTGATTGTCAGGAGGGACATAAAACCTAGAAAAGCAGAAGGGTGATACTGCTGGGCTAAGGTAGGAAACTGTTTCTGCATAAGGAAGTGTTAAAGGGAATAAGTTAAAAACAGCCTGGAAGAGAGATGGGGAAAGGTAGGAAGAATGCAGTATTATCACATGAAGTTGTGAGTGGGATGGAGGTAAGAGTGATTGATTGCATCCTGAAAAAGCCATTATTTCAAATCCTAAATAATGCATTTTCTGACAAGTTAGTCTGCTGCCAATTTCATTCTGAGGACTGTAAAGATTTTCAAGTACTGATAATACACAGATCTGATGCTTTGGTAGAAATGATTCAGTAAGGGGCATATAAGCTCCTGCATACGAATGGAGAACTTGGCAAAATAATTCCGTAATCCTTACAACTGAAAACTTAGCAGTTACTGTTGATCTTCCATATTCCACATGTTCAGTTCTCATATCTTTTATTTGTTGAATGCAACTTCTGCTAGTCCAGAATCACTTAAAAAATTAAACATATTTGGGTATAAAGCTATTTGCAGACTTACAGAAGGGCAATGCTAATGACCATGGCTTGTTGGAAACAGCATCTGCAGTCTGAGGAAAGCTGAACAAGGTTGCTTTCAAGTCTGACTGCAAGCTGTATAAAAATCAGGGTTTTTTTTCTTCTAGGTAACACGTATCAGGTATCTGATACTCTGAGAAAGGCTTGCAGATGTCTCCAATGTCCTGTAGTTGTCCTATCACAGACCTTTGGCATTGTAAAGGAAAAGCAGATCTCTACAGAAAACTTGCTCTCTGCTTTTTCCTAAACAACTTTAGGAACTGTTTTCTTGAAAGGACACCTTATAGAGGAATTCGGATCCCAGTAATTAGCACTGCAGTCTTGATGTCAAGGAAATAGAAAAGATTTCAGAGACAAAATCAGTGTCATCTGTATCACAAGTATGATGAATTGTGACTAAGAAACAGTGTATTTAATTTATCATCTAGCCTGTATAGTTCCCTGTGCGGCAGCTGCCCTGCTCTCCAAAATATCATTTTCATTAAAATCTTATGTGTGGATTATCATTGAAAGTAGTTTATGAAGTTAGAATATCCTACTGTTACTTCATGCCTCTCCTGCAGTCATGTCATTCCACTCTCCACTTCTCTTACTGCCCCACACTGCCCCAAGGACAGTTCCCACAGGAGATGCCTTTATCAGAAAGTAGAACTACTTCAGCTACCAGTGTACTGAAAGACTTTATTCTTCACATGCGCTGCCTCCCCCTGCTGTTTTTCGCCTGTACTGTAAAGAAAAAAACTTGCTTGTTCTGAATTTGTGGACAAAAAGTTTCTGGAGTGCAGCTTTTTGCCTTGTAATTTGATCTCCTCTTTGAATCCACAAGAATACATTGCAGCTTAATCTTGCGCATGTTCCTGGTCATAAAAACTAATCACAATTTGAAGTAAGATAGCCATAGAATATTCTATGTTACAGACAGGCTTCTGTGCTGCTGGTTCTTACTAGCTTCCTTTTCAGTATTACAGCCTGATGTGTGAAACTAGGGGTATGTATCTTACCTGAAATTTAATGGCTGACCTTTTTCTAGGAAATGTTATCAATGGATCCTAATGGGCTTTCAGAACAGAGAGCTTTATGGAACAATTAACCTCTCAGTTATTGGGACAGGTTTAAACACTTGCTTCAGGAGTTCAGCAGCATCAGTGAGGCTTTTAATCATATTCAGATGCATCCTTAGACATCTTACAAGCTTACCTGGAATGCTGAGAAGAGCTTTTAATACATTTAAAAACTACTAATTATGGGTTGACAACACATAAGCCTTACTTCCCTGCTAGACTTGAGGGTATTCAAGGCAAGTGTAATCATCAGTAGTGCTAACTGACGAAAGAATCTGAACTTGGCATGCATCTGCGATGGATAATACGTTTCTTAATTTAGTGGAGAAATACTGGCTGCAGGAGTTCTAAAAGAAATTTGGTCTTGTTTTTGTCATGTCCCCTTCCTCCCCCCCCTACCCGTGCAGTGATTGTTTAAGTATGTGCTGTCTACTTTGGAAGGTGAATTTAGTCCTGAGGGGGTAGCTGCAGATTCAAAACCAAAACAACAACAAAAAATCCCACACAGAAAGTCTAAACTACTGTCTTTTGCCTTAGGATTCTTAACCAAATCCTAGAAACATGAAATGAAGTTATTTCTTCTCTCCCCTATATTAAGCTGCTTTAATATAGCAAAAAGACTAAAGTTACTTTTTGTAACTACATATTAGAAAAGGGACCTGTATGTTTCCCTAGGAGAAACTAATGTAATACTGCCAATGATGCCTTAAGGATTTCTTTTTCAGTTTCTGAATTTCAAATAAATATCCGTGTACGGAAAGAACATCTAGCTTAGGCTTCTAAAAATATCTATTAAATGTTTAGATTTGTTTTAAAATATCTTGATAAATGGGTTCAGTTTAACCATCTATTCTGAACTCTATGTATTAACCTTGGTTTATCAAAAATCAAGGCAAATAAGTAGTTTTAAATTCTGCATGAATTGCATGCTTAGGGTGTTCTAAATAAGTTTTGCTAATTTACAATGGTACACCACATGAGAAAGTTGTAAAGAAAAAACGCAGCAAATTCTGTGTCTGTTGCATTGCAGCAGCACAGCACTTGCACGTAGTAGTATGAGCTTATGAATTAAGGCAGAATGAGGCAATGCTGTAGAATAGATCCATGAATTGAAGTTCAGACTCTGCCACAACTACAGTGAGCATATGGGTAGGCTTCTATAGAGTTTTCTTTTGCAGCTGTCATCTTTTCAGCAGTAGTGATCATTACACACTTTGTTAAAATGACTGGGTTTGGTTTTTTTTTTGTCCTTTCCCTGCAGCTGGTTATATTTTGGGCACTAAATGAAGGTGTTGCCAGACAGTTTGACTCATTCAGAGATGGATTTGAATCAGTCTTTCCCCTCAGTCATCTTCAATACTTCTATCCTGAGGAGGTTGGTAAACGTGTCTTTACTGATGCTTTTATAATTTTGTATCTATATGTATGGACAGTCTGAACCCAGGTGTGCACTGGATGCAGTGCATTAGTGACAGAGTGTGTGATCATGTAACACTTCTGATGGACATTAGCAAAACTTTGGTGTCCTTTAAATTACATACTTAAAGTTTTCTGTGGTGATCACTTATCTGATGCTTTTATTATGAACAGCTCAATTTTCTTTAAAATTGAGTATATTCAGCTTTTTTGAGCAAAGTGCTTAAATTTATATATTCAGGCTCTTTATAGTGATACATATACTTTAATTCCTTGTTTTGCGGTGGTACTTGTTAGCTGTTTAAAACAAAATAAACCCAAACAAGCTCAGGACAGTGGTGTTATTCTCCTGTTTTCTTATTGTTTGGCATGGTTTGATGCTCGCTTCTGCTTGGAAATCTAAAAATATGGAATCTAGTCTGTTGCTAATATGATTAATCAGAATTAAGCCATAGGGGCAGCATAAGATATTTGTATCTTTTTCTTGATAAATGTATGTGTCATCGCTCTGCCGCATGGGATGCTAAATGTGTATGCAAAGGCAAATTCAGCAAATGAGGCTGTCACTGGGATGAAGTGATCGCATTCAAAGAATTTGGGAGGATTGCTTGGGGTGACTAAGGTTATTTTGCAGCAAGTGATACCAGGAAGCAGAATGCTGTACTAGTAGTCAGAACAGACAATGCTTTTTCTGCCTCAGGTTCTAAAAGGGAAAACTTAATTCCATGTTTTGTAATCTTATAGTTGGAGCAGCTTCTGTGTGGCAGTAAAACAGACACTTGGGATGCAAAGACTTTAATGGAATGTTGCAGGCCAGATCATGGTTATACACATGACAGGTAATATGGTGTTGATCTTGTTAAAAAAATAAATATTAGCACTAGAAGATACATATTTAAATAATATTGATACACTGTTATTCAGGCTAAAGGAATTATGACATTTATTTGAAAATACTAATTCTGCAATGAATATTAATCTGATGCAATTTTCTTCACTACAAACAATAATAATAGCTTGCCTTTTTCTCCTCCTTAGTCGAGCAGTGAAGTATCTCTTTGAAATTCTGAGTAGCTTTGATAGTGAGCAGCAGAGACTGTTTCTTCAGTTTGTGACGGGTAGCCCCAGACTGCCTGTAGGAGGTGGGTTTTGTTCATTACATACTACTACTCTATATGAAATAAGTATTATTAATGCATTTCAGAATAAGCGGGTTATTTCAGTATAGGAAAAAATTACTTGTATATTCTAGATGTTCATACTTACTTGACGTTTCTAGTTTCAGAAGTGGTTGGGTAGACTTCAGGTAGAATTCTCATCAACTTTGCATTACGCATATGACACTTCATTCAGTTGGCTCTGTTCACGTTTAATTTATGTTACATATAACCTGTTGAAGGGAAAAACATAGTTAAAAATTTTAAAAAACCAAAACCCAAACAAAACCGAACCCTTCTTCCCCCAAAACAAAAAAACAACCCTGTAATGCTGTATTCCTTGGCTAGAGGTGCATCAACAAACAAAATGATGCAGTGCTACCCAGAAACAGTAGTCTCCTTTGTAGAAAGGAGACTATGCCAGTGTAGTGGTAAACTTTTAATTTCTCTCCCTTTTGAATTTCAGAAATTAGGTGAAATGAAGTGAGGAAAACTGAGGAATTTGCTGTCTTTGCTAGGGACCATTATAGAATACACAATTTGCTGTAAGCTCAGCTAAATACTTTGCAAGTAAATCCAGAGTTTATGCATATGTTCCACTACTTGTGTTCTTTGGGGTTTTTTCGTTTTTTGGTTTTTTTTGGTTGATTGGTTTTTTGGTTTGGTGGTTTTGGTTTTTTTGGTTGGTTTTTGTTTGTTTGTTTGGTTGGTTTTTTTTTTTTGGAGGAGGAGGGGAGACTGGTGCAGACAGAGCTGAGGGTCTGGAGTAAAATCAATAAGGTACCATAGCCATAGATAACTTCTGAGAATCTTAGAAAATGTGTATGAAACCAGCCAACTCTTAAAAATACTATTGTTTAGAATAGGATTTTTTACACTTACAGAACACAAAAGTAAATTTAGCTTATTTGTTTGGGGTCTTTTTAATTCATCTTGGAAAACTAGTGTACAGACAGGACTTCAGGTATTTTTTTTCCTTTCTACATACCCTTATAAAGCCATATTCTGAACTTTAAAAATGGAGCTGAAAAAATCAGTTATGAAATGCATGCTTCTGTCACTGGTAGATGTCTACAATGTTGACTGTGTGTTTTCAAGAGGAGCAACCTTATTCTGAATGTCTTTTCTCATGGACAGGCTTTCGAAGTTTGAATCCTCCATTGACAATTGTACGCAAGACTTTTGAGTCTACAGAGAATCCAGATGATTTCTTACCCTCAGTAATGACTTGTGTGAACTATCTCAAATTGCCGGACTATTCAACTATTGAGATAATGCGTGAAAAACTCTTGATAGCTGCAAGAGAAGGGCAGCAGTCATTCCATCTTTCCTGATCACAATAAAAATACAATGTCTGCCTGTTACAGCAAAAGAAAAACTCATGATTCTTTTCTAAATATATCACCTGAGTCAAGGAAACGTGTTACGCCTTCTTGTTGTAGAAAAACGGCTTGCAGATTATAAACAAAGACACTTGGTTGATATTCATTAAAGGCCCCTATGGACTTAAAGTGATCCGGCCCTAAAAGTTGTTGTGACAAGGTTTCTTTAGCAAGTTCTTGTTTAAATTATCATTTATTTGATGAGTGAAGTTTTTAACTTGCTTTGCTGTGTGAAATTTAAAAAGGGATGTTTTTCCAGGCTGGAACAATAAATGTCGCTGTGCAGTTTAATACTGGGCTGTGTGTATCCATCTAGCTAAGTCTGAAGTTTTTCCTCCAAAGACAACTTTTGTACATAAGTACAGAAATTAAATACACCATGTATTTGACAAATCTAGTTTAGTAGACTAGTTCTGTGTACCCTCACCTGCCTCTAATTTTACCCATCCTCATGTATTGTCTGATGTGCAATTCACTTGGTTCTTTTTGTGTGCAACATTCAACAATTGTTATGTTTTGGTTAGCATGGGCATTTAACTGCTCCATGCCTCTTTCTCTGATTAAGATAATTTAAATTTTACTGAAATCAAATATATATTGTCAATATAATTCAGCCTTTGTAACTAGGTAGAACCTTTTCTTATAGCATAGTTTTACTGTAGTGGTAGGATATAATGGCGACAGTCCTTACGAGTTGACGCTCTAGAGCTGTTTACACAGTGATTCAGGCAGCAAAAGCCTCTTACTAGAGGCTAGGAAGAATTATTTCTTTCGTGTAGTTGAAGTCCAACAGCTTGGGCTGGCCAGTGTGTATTGTGGTAAAGGCCACAGCATTTTGAATTGATGTAAAGTTTTTTAAAAGACAAATTAGTTGTTTCATTCCCTCTTTGAGTAAACAGTTTTCTTGTTCTTGATCTAAGTTCCTGGTTACTTTTGTAGTTTTTTTCTTTTTTCTTTTTTTTTTTTTTGTTTGTTTTTCTTCCCCCCTCCCCCCGCACTAGCTTGGAACAAACAGTTCAGCCTTTGTCTTTTGACACAGATAAAGCACCTGTAAGCAATTCTCTGTCCAACTGTTTTATGTGCTGATTTCTCAAATCTGCAATAATTTACTTCATCAGGTTAATGTTTTTACCTGAATATAAATAAAAAAGTTTGCTTCACCTTTTTGTTCATAGTTTTGTACTGTATGCATAAAGTTCAATTGTGTAAATTACTGTAATGCAAGTAAATCGTCCTAAATCTACTTGGCTAACAGCCTGCAACTTGTGGATGATTTACTACTAAAACAAGACCTTTTAAGACCTCCAACTCAGAGGGAATTTTTTTTCTTTCTTTGGGTTCAAAAAATGGGCTATTACAAATACTCCTGAGATGTACCGGCTGTCTAGTTAATCTCTATGAAAATGTGATAGTTAATTACTTTTATTCAACTTTGAGAAATCAAAATTCATGTCAGTGCTTAGAAATTGTTAAATTCTGGCTAATCAGGCTAGTATTTCCCCTAAACTAACAAGTTTTCTTTTATCTAGCTGAAGAACTTGAACTTCCAGAATATGTAATGGACATTCTTCCAGTGAACATTCACAGAATTACATGTGGTTGCTCGTACCAGTGCCACTGAAATGTAATGCAAACCTGTCATGAGCATGAATAGAATGCGAAATCCTTGCACAAAGAACTTGATAACTGAACAGTTTCTACTACCGTATTAGAACTGAAAGAAGGCGCTTCACACTGTACATATAATAATGGTAGTGCACAGTGCGGCATAGTTTTCATAAAACTTCAAGGCAGTGTTTAAACTATGGACTGGTGTTTCAATTGTTCTGATAACTTGATCAAACTGAGCACAAAAAAGTGTTTATAGTGTGTGGATAGCAATTTGTTCATTTTTTTTAAGGTTCTATATTTTAAAGAAAACCTGACTTGTGTAAAAAGAAAAGAAAAAAGCTAATATTTTGTATTAAAATATCATGTGTATTGATATTTTTTTTTATCCATGTTGTCTCCCTCTAGAATCTGGCTTTGATCGACTTTGAAATTTTGAGGAGCTCTCAAATTTGGTTTAGAGCCATTATGGAAGTGTTCCAGTGGGGAAATAAGTTGTTGGTTTCCTGTTTAAAAGGAAGGAAAAAGCAAGTACCTGTGGTGATAATTTTTGTTGTGGTGGCTGTCATTTTCAGCACAGACTAAGGATGTAGTTGGCCTGAAAAATGAATGAAACCCCTTTGGGTGGCACTTTGTTTTTTTTCCTACCAAGCTTTTAATGTATTAGAAGAGCAGTCTGGCTTAAAAGATAATGGTAAGAACAAATTGAAGAGTCACGGTTCGCATGACTGCAATATTTCACGAAGAACAGAAATGTGGTATCTAAGAGTAGTTGAGAACAAGTGGAGGGGTGGGGCAAGACCTTGGGAATTCCTCCTTTTCAGGAACTTTGGATTAAAGGAAAATCTCATTGAAATCCATCATGGGTATGTGCAGATGCCTGCTCAGGACTACGTAGCCCTCAGAAGAACGTATAATTGATTTAGCACTGAACTGCTTTTATTATACCCTATAAAGTAGACAAAGGTACAAGAAGTCCTATTTTTGAAAGTAGAGGCTTATTTTAACATGGTAAGTTCACCTGGTTTTAGAGAACACCAGCCATCAGTTACTATTTTGGATGAGTTTTATGTCCTTCTAAATTAACAAGAGCAGCAGAAAACTGGGGGAAGAAGTGCCATCCAAGCACTGATAGCTGCTACTGAATTGGTGCAGTGATTTTTTTTTTGGTTAGTTTTTTGTTTTATAAAAAAACTTTGTATAGGGAATGTTTGAGCAGTATCACATCTGACAAATTAGTGATTTGTAGTGCTGCTTCATATCCTGTAGGAACACGCACAAGAATTAATTCCAAGTATGTGTGAAATCCCCATGCCCATTGCCTAACTTTTAACCAGCTATTCCAATTTTCATACGCAGGCTGCTTGCATAATTGAGTTGCCTAGATTCTTCCTCCTTTACCCTCAACTTGGTGGTTTGGTGGTGGGATTTTTTTTTTCCCCCCTATCTTTTCCCTTACTGAGCAATCCTCTGCTAAGAAGGTGGGTGCCTAAGAGCAGGGACTGATGAAATTCCAAAGGCTTGTATCACTTGTGACCTCTTTTCTGGTCACTGCTGGAGGTGAGGCTTCCATCTGTAGAGTTCCTGCCTCCTCCTAGCCAAAATGTTTCTCTATAGCTAAAGCTGTTGGCAGAATGTAGAGAAATAAAAAGCTTGGCTAAGATGGATTACAATAAAAAGTTTGGAAGGGGGCTAAAATCTTACTTGCAGTTGAGCGTTTTCAGGGTTTGTCCTGTCTTTCTTGCACTTTATGTTCCTAGTCTCTTGATAGCTTGAACCGGAAAACTGCCATGTGATCTCTTCCTGTGATCTTGCAGGAATTTCACAGCTGTGTGCTCTTGACTTGCTGTGTCTTTCCTACTGCATTGTGTTTTTAATAGCTTTTCTCAGATTACTGCAGTTGGTAGCCCCAGGAGTAGGAGTCATCATCCCACCCCAGTGCACCAGCATAAACTGCACTGTCACACACATTTTAACAGAACATTAATGCAGGTTTATACAGCAGAGAAGAAACAAATTCCATCATAGCCTGGGACTGGCAGTGAATGGCTCAAGGAATAACTGCTTCAGTGTACTGGGCTAGAACACGGGAATACTATGTTGTCTTCTGGTGCTGACATGTGCCTGTATTGATCAGACATCAAGCTGCTTTGGGGGTGCAGGAGGAATAGGACTTGAGCCTCTTTCCTTTACTGTGTATGTCAGGAGAATCATGAAAGCTTGACTTGTAAATAGGAGAACTAAGTGGAGGGGCAACAGTGAAGATAGATCCAATATCTTCAAGGCACTCAATTAAAATTCCTGATAGTTCTAGTTCTCGTTTGACAGCAACATCTGGAAACTTAAACAGGAAAACAAACAAAAAAGCCATGCAAGCAAACAAACAAACCTAAAACCCCAAACACCCCTAAAAGAAGTGACAGAGGTGAAAGTGCACTGCACCTCCTCACACACACACACACACACACACACACACACACACACACACAAAAAGAGGCTGGAATTCCCAACTCCTGTGACTCCTTGTAGTCAAGAAGGAAACTGTCCAGTTCAGTCCATAAGCAGCATGTTGGGGTAGAGCAACAAGCGTGTTGGGGGTTTTTGTTTTCTTTTGGGGTTTTTTTTTTTTTGTCTTTT